AATAGCTGTGTAAACTCAAAGAAACTATAAAACTCAGTTTAAACTATAAAACTCAGTTTAAAACTCCCAACGCGGGTCATTTTAGCCCCATGGCTTTATGCCTAAATCCTTGTTTATGGTTATTATTATTATTATTATACAAAAGCAACTTTAATAGAGCAGGCAACAGCACAACCAAAATTGACGAAATTTTGTAAGTTTTGAGGGGGTAAGCTGAGAACATACTTTTGGAGAAAAATGCGTGAAATTTGGTGCAAATTATTTTTTTTCGTTTTCTCAAATTTTTTTTCTTTCCGGAGCAAAGCTTTATTTGGCACATTTTGAAATGAGTGACAAACTAAACTCTTTAAACAGACCGTGTCCAATTACCACAAGATATATTAATTTTGGATATATTACTAGTAGGTGAAACTAAACAACTAACTCACCCAATAAGGCTTTTTACACTTTTAATAACCCTTGCATTGATTTTCTGGGGCCTAACTTTTGTGTAGTTTAAATTAGCTACCTCTTAAATAAAGATGTTTTAAAAAGTAAAATTAGACAGTTCTCGAAAAGAAATTGACGTGGAAATATATCAAATCTTTTCTTTCCTTCTGATTTACGTTTAACATGGCTAACATGTCTTCCTAGAATTCTGCGGCATAGTTTTCAGAAGCTTCAGATATACAACACCAGTAAAAGTCAGTCAGATCAACCCGCGTTGCCCACCATAGAAGATAATGCGCAACCATACACATCCATGCATGATTTGTATGGAAAATGACCAATCATACGTGGCACAAACGTTTGTTTCAAAAACCCTCAAATAGCTTTTGAACCGATTGAATTTGTGAATAAAACGGTTTGTTCTCCTTATGCAAGCTGTTGTTAAGATAATCAAAAAACGTTCACCATGCAAATCATACGTCGCAACATATATGGTGCTACGTATGTGTAGAATCGGTAATTCTACTGTATAACGTACATGGCTTTTTCTTTGAACCTTGAACATGCAAACTAAGTAGTAGTAGAGCTGATTCGTTGATAGCGTCTGGTAAAGATCGGTAAATAATAGAGTGGTTAAGTTAAGATTGAATTAAACTCGTGTTTAATTAAGTTCGTGGGATTAATCCCCCTCTTTAGTGAAAATAGTGAATGCAATAGCTCCCGCCAACCCCCCCCCCCCCCCAACTCGGGAACTATAAGGACGAACGTTATGAAATTTAATGGAGTGATACTAGAGATGATTTGACCCGGGCATGCAAAGCGCCGGACCCGCTTGACCCCCTGGGGCCGGGTGATAACGGTTCCCGGAAGTGCAAATGGCCCCACCGGAAATCCTTAACTACTGGTCCGATTGAGCTCATTTTTATATATGTGGTAGCCCTGGATGAGGGAAGCTTAAGTTTGAAGTTTCGGAACCTCAAGGTCACCCCGGCCCGATTTATGCCTTAAACAAACAAACCCCCCCACGACTCCCGGAGGCTACTCCTCGACCCCCAATGACCCTAGGGAGCTGAAACTTGGAGGGATGGTAGATAGTGACATGGTCTATCGTATATTAGGATGATGACCCTACTGGGTGACAATTTGCGTGCATAGGAAATTAGTTAGGCATTTCCTGGAATTCGATGGAATATCTTGGCTTAATGTATAGTGGTATATTGTTGGATTTAATACGAGTTAGTTAAATAAACATTGGGTTAAAATTTTGACTTGGCGAATGAACTATTAATAGAAATGCGTCAATGGCACAGAAAAGTAGTCACATATTAATTTGGCAATATGACAGAGGGAATAGGGAATTAATTAACATAAATATTAGAAATGTACTGGATATTCCATTGGCTTCTGGGGAATGTTTTATTGGCTCAATTGGACCCCAGTTGAGGGAACGGCTTACCCTGAAGGTCGATTAGATTGAAACTTGAATGGGTTATGTATTGGAATTTTTGGATTGCGATAATTAGGAAATTAAGTTCATTGGGAATTTATCCTAGTCATGGGAGAAAGGAAAAGATGCGGGATAATTAAATAAAGTCCTTGGGTATTTGGATATGTAAGCATAGCTTGAATTAAGTTGAAGTTGCACTTGTTATTTGTTTAGCATAGCTTTGATTGGCATTTTGAACTTGGCATTTAAATTAATGTGATCATGCGGGATTTATGAACTGGAACGCTGCGTAGGAGGCATATAGATAAATGTTAAGACTTATACGGAATGACGGATCTCTAACTAAAACTAAGAGTAAATAGACATAAGGCACGGATGTTGCGGAACGGCCTTTAGGCGTCAGAACGATTGGGAGTTAATTGTTAACGAGTCGTATCTCAGAGTTATTGAGAACGAGTTAAGTTACTCGTTGAAAGTTAAAGTAGATTAGTTAGTGAAGTAAGTTAGGCTATCTAGAGGATAGCGGAATCGTTGTCGAACGATTGATAATTGATAGAAGTTCTCGAGGAGAACATTAGATATTAGTTAGGCGTTAATTGAACTGCAGGAGGCAGTTGGTTGAATAATAGTAATCGCGGACCCATTCCTTTGGTTGAATGATTAATTTATGTTCCAGCCACTTATAGGCTATTCTGTATTTGGATTGTTTATTTCTTAATTCATTATTATTATTGGAATTGTTGTTGCGATTGACTATTGATTGCGAGCGAGATACAGTCGAAAGAGCACAAACAAGGGGCGAGCAGCATAATACGATACAGAACGGCTATCCACCAAATCAACCCTTTTGGGATTGTAAACAGTACTGGGATTTGGTTGCCCCACCGACCCAGTGCTAAAGGGAAACATATTGCGGCGACGCGGAACAGTGTGAGAGGTCGGTCTAGAGATATTGTGAATTCCACACGTTTACAGTGGCGCTCCTGGGTGGGCGCTATTCTGGATTGTAGTTGCAACGACGATTTGTGCGAATACGAGAAGAGCGGACGATCGACGAAACAGTTGCGATGGCGATGAACGATCAGGAAAGACAGCTCATGGCGGAGGCTGCGGCGAATGCTCTTGATCGACAGCAGGGGGTGTTTGGATTTGGAACGATACGACCAGATCGGTTTCCCTCGAGCAGTTATCAGAACTGGCGAGACTGGAGGAAACACTTCGCCTGGATAGCAGACGCCAATCGATGGGACGATGAGCAGGCGAGGATGGTTTTGCCCACTTGCTTGACGGGCTGGGCATTGGATGAGTTCACCAGTATGCCAGCTCACTTTCGAGAGGAAGTGGAAGGGTTCGATGAGCCAACTTTAGGCAGAATGCTGGCCGAGCTCGATCAGAGGATGATGCCGTTTCAGACACGATCGACTGCGAGGGCTGAATTCAAAAGCCTCATTCAGGGCGAAAGGGAGGATCTGAGGGAGTTCTCCCGGCGAGTGCGATCAGTGGGTGAAGTGGCGAATGCAAATATGCCAGTGCAGATTCGAGACGATATGAATCGCGAGCAGTTCATCGATGGGATATTCGATGCGGATCTACAGGAGTTGCTCCTACGCGAAGATTTCGATAGTTTTGGTCAAGCCGTGGCTCGAGCCCAAGCACTAGAGATGGCTAGTAGGACAGCCAGACTGCGTAACCGAAGACGTCCAAATGCTGTTCGGGAAATGCACGATATTCCAGAGATAGAATCCGGAGTTATTGGAGGCGAAGTGCAGGCAGACGGGGCTCAGCACTTGCGGACGGACTTCACGAGATGGCAGAAAAGTACAGATCAGCGGTTAGACCAGCTCACTCAGCAGATGCAGATGCAGGGGGCGCGCCAGAATCAGCTGGCGAAACATGTGGAGACGCAAAACTCCAGGCATGACGAGCTGTTGACGCAGATGCACTCGCAAAACTCCCAGATACAGAATATGACGACCCAGATGCAGAGCATGACATCTATGATGAGCAAGTTAGTAACTTCTTTTTCCCCGGCTCCCCAGTACGAGGGCTTGCCCCGAGATGAAGCGGCACCAAAGTCACGGCAGTCATTTG